TCTAATTTATTCCTATTGGAATGTCTATTTTTAGTGATTTTTCCACATAACCTGTATTTTTAGCTATTTTTCCATAGAATGAGTATTATCATTCTGGGACTTGTAATTTTTCTTGTATAAATGTATACCCGTGATTTGCAGTAACGTAACAGATTTTGAAGTGCTGCCAGAGATGAAAGCAAATTCAAATTTTAGAGTGAGGAATGAGTTTTGTGGCTTTCAGATATTTATTTAAAATTTCCTTCCCTAGAGGTAGTTGCTTAGATAGATTAGCTACCTCTGCAGGTATTTGGGGATAAATACAGGTAATATTGAACCAAAACAGTATATTTTGGAGGGAAGAGACTTGGTTTTACCTGAGAAAAATGTATCCATTTAAATATTTTATCCAAATACAATGTTTTATACATTTAGGCAAGATCGTATGTAGGATTACAATAAAGCATTTAGCCTTGAAAAATGCTCCGTCTGTTTGTGCATCTTAAAGTATTACAGTATTCGAATCTAAAAATATATTGGTTATACAGTAAAATGGAAATTTAAGGTGAAAACAAATATTGTTGTGTATATTTTTTAAGCTGAGTAAATGAACAGTTATTTGTATAGATGAGGACTTGATTTAGAAAATGATACTATCTGATAATTCAAAGTAAAATTATGTGTCCATAAAGAGAAGATTCAGTTACTGTAGTTTTGAGAAACTAGGTAGGGAAAATAGAAAAAGTAACTTAAAATCATACAATCATAATCCAAAATGAGACTAGCTAGGAAGGTTTCTAAGTGGTAACTGCTTTAAGTCAATATTGAATTAGATTTCATAGGCAAATTATTATAATTTTAGTGTTTTCACAATTCGTTCATCTGTCTCTCTTTCTGGATGTCTGGTCAGAGCTTTGGCATATAATAGGTAAAATATATCTGTTGAGGAAACTCCACAGAAAATGTAAGGGCGTAGTTTTAAAAGGCAGCTTATTTATCTCATTTCCCTTCTATACTACTTGCCATGTCTGTATAAGCTTTTTATGACAGCTTAAGCCAACAAGTATGTTAGTGTTCTTTATAAATAAAGTAACAAGAGAAACATACATAATACCTATGTTTGGGAGCAATGGAGGAAAACAAATTTGAAGAAAAAATTAATTTCAGCGAAGAATTTTGTCATACCATGTATGACAGGTCGTTAGAATCAGCAAGGGAGAACAATGATGTATGTTTTACCATGATGAGAAATAGCTTAGGGGATTTTGTTGTTTTCTAGTGTGGGTTAAGGTAATTATAATTGCAGAGAAATAAGAGGTCTTATTTAAGTCACTAATTTTTTTCACATTACAAAACAGACCTTGCTCGGTACCCTGTACATCTGCACTAGCAAATATGTTATATGTACAATGAGGCACTGAAGTGTTCATTGATAGGTGAAATAGAAGTTCCTAAACAGAAGAGGATAGATCCTATATTCTTCTCGTTGAGGTGAGTAGGATTTTGAGGCATACAAATAACGCAGAATTGCGCCCTCTGTTTTTTGTAAATGAACATGAATAGCTCTGACTTTTACAGAAAAGATATGGCCATAGCATTGAATATTGTTTAACTGATAAAGGTTAGCAAAATCAGATTCATTAGCACAAAAGACCATCTCAGACATGTATGTTTTAAAAAGACCCTCCAAAGGGTCCCCTTAATAAATCATGGGGATGATATGACTCCTTTAAGCAGAATGACTAAGGAGAGCTGAAACTGAGTAACAGGATGCTTAAGATCTCTGTCAATTAAAAATACACCTGAAACAAAGGTTTTTGAAAAGGAGGCTTTATAGCATAGTGAAGCATATGTGCTCTTGCTACCAGATGAGAACTGTGAAATGCACGGTGAGAGCTACTGTAAGGAGGCATTTGTAAAGGATTTATTCAGATTTTTGACCTTAAAACAACTTGACAAACTTGTATAGCAATATAGCTACATGTTGTGCCCTGAGAAGCAGATGGTGCAATATATTTTGCCATCTCACGGTGCTCACTGAATGAATTGGTGACTGCATTCCAGTTTTTGGTGGAGATAAATCAGCATTACAAAACTCACCCTAATTTGTACATTTATTTGCTGCTTAAAAACAAAGATTTCTTAGAATGTGTGGGTATGGAGTTGGAGCTGCCCTTCAGTAATGGTTTCTCTAGATTAGGTCTGAGACACAAAGGCAGCCCAGGGAAATATGCCAGATCTAACGTCTGTGCCAGGCCCTCTGTGTGTGCTAAGTCTGTTCTGTGGATAGAGGACTTCAGGCTTGAAGGCTGTCACCCTGGCACATTTCACCAGAGCTAAACTGACATTTAGAAAAACTAACAATCTCAAATGCCGTACTGCTTCTGTAGCTTAAGTAGGGTTCAGTTTCCAAGCAGGATTTTGTAGATCATTAAATTCATAATGTTGAACTCCGGGAAATTTGTAAGGGTGATAAACACCTTAAATGACACCACAGATTATAATTCAGATATCCTCAAGGAGTCTGTTGGGGTTTTTTTATCACTCTTTTTTAATTCCCATTGACACTAATTGCAGGTACATAAAGCATTTGCTTTGGCAAAAGTCGGTTTATAAGTGCATACTGCAGTGCTATACACTGTAGTTTTATTTATTTATTTTTTAAAATGTAATTGGAAATTTTCTGTCTATGACAAATCGTATTCCTTTAGAAAGCCTAATGATTTTATCAGTAGAAGTGTGCACAGTTGACCTTAATATCTACAAGTGTCTCGATGACATTTGATTATGCTGTCTTCCACTTAAAGTCCGCAAGTATGTTAAGAGCATTCAGATGCCTCACTGTCAAGTGAATCCAGAGCAGTCTGCTATGGAAAGACTTGGTGGATGTGGTTTGCCAGGATTTGCATTCTGTTTTTTTCAGAAAATGAAGAGGAGGAAGAGGAGAGTGTATCTCTTTGGAAAAGTTTCAGCTGCAGAATGATTTGCCTGGCTCATCCATTCCCACAGAATATTGCCTTTTTAGGATTATTTCAGTGTTCATTTCCTGATGGCAGAACTGAAGATAGCAAACTAATTCTATTGATTGGTTTCTAGCTGGAGTATGTGAAACATATTTTAGACAGCAAAAACCCATTAGAGTTTTCAGCCTATTTCTCACAGCAAGTAATTGCTTTACTGGTTCCAGTATATTCCCTTATTGCTAGACAGTCCATAACACCCTTTTTGGGGTGGGTTTAAAACAAAAAAGTAGTTTATTTGTGATAATGAAGTTACACCAGAGGTTATGGGAATGTTACTAGGACAATTGGGACCATTCCTGCAGAAGACAATATCTTTTTTGTTTGTTTAAATAAAGGATCTACTTCCCCATATAAAGGATGCGCTGACAGTTCACGAAGAGCAGTTTCTTCTCAGTATAGGGGAAGACCTGAACTCCTGACCAAGCTCTGGGAAGGGTTTCTTGTTAACAGTGTCCATGGTTTGCACAGCAAGTGAATGTATGACTATGTCATTTGTAACAAACTCTCACACACTTCTTTAAAGTATTTTACTGCTGCTGTGTCACTGGCTTTCCCTGAAAAAATAGGGCTTTGATGATTAGTAGCTGCATGAAAACACCTTTTTTTTTTTTTTTTTTTTTATTATTACTAGGAGACCGAAGGACCTGGAAATCCAAGTCTTTCAGATGCACACCCCTTTCCCCGCTGTTTCAACAGAAAGGGGGAAGATGTTATGGAAAACGCCCCCCCCCCTTTTTTTTTTTTTTTACTTTTAAATTTCATTTCTCCATTGCATCCCCAAATCCCAGCTCATCAGACTCTGTGAAAACTCGCATCTTTTCTGTAGCTACGTCTTTGCCACTGATCTGGTACCAACCTCCTCTTCTTTCCTTGTTATCTCACAGTTATTTGTGCAACTGTTTCTCTTCAGCTCTTGCCATGGTGTTCTCTAGCCGTGTTAAGCTTCTTGCCCTCACAGTTTTTCCATAACCTTGCAAAGGTCATTGCTTACCAGATGTCTCCTTCGCAGTTTTCTCTCTTAATTTGTAACTTCTTTGTGATATTTATTATATTATGATCATTATCATCATTATTTTGTCTTGATTTTAACTGTTATTTCAGGTGACATCTGCTTGAGCAATGGTGTTTTCAAGTCTAGATGCTTATTTTCTTTTGCTAGAGTAGTTGTTAAAAGTTCTCAGTGTTGCTTTTAGGCTTGAGACTGAGTCGATGGCGGAGGGAATAATGGAGATGATGGAGTAAGATATGGTGAAAGATAATGGGCAAGGGAGTGAACTGAAGGATGAACAGAAAGGAGCAGAATCTGGAAGCAAGGAATTAAGATTAAAGTAAAATGTTGACTTGCAATGGAAAAAAACCCCGATGCATACAAAGGCTGGAGAATTCATGTAAAATGGAAGGAAATAATTATGGCAGCTGTACAAGGAGGCTTTGAGATAAAATTAAGTAAGGGAAATTTCACCCTGAAAAAGTCAGGAAATCTTCATACAATGATTTATTTGAGGAATTAAATATTTGCCTGGGTTCAAGTATCTGCCTAGTCCAGTAATTCTGGAGGAGAGATGGCATAATCCAAATACGTTATGGCCTGATCCAAAGCCTGCTGAAGACATTGGAACAGTGACTATTTTATACAGTGAACTTTGGATCAGGGCTCTGTGGACATTTGACGGAGAACATTCCTGACATCAGTAAGAAGATGGCTTAGCTGATTTAATAGCTTTTTTTTCAGTCTGTGATTCTAACAGCCAGGTTTGTGATATTTATTTTAGTATTCATGTTCTTGCAGTCCTTTTTACATTTCTCTGTTTTTCCCTGGCAGACATCCCGCAGCTCCATAAGTCTGGGGGAAGAAGGTGGTTAGCATGTTGTTGCTGTGGGAATTTGAGTCTTAATGCTCTGTGTTGGTAATGTTGGGCATATAATTTTAAAACTTGCATGCTGTAGCAGCAAGTAATTATTTCCCTGCTGCATTTCACACTCTGGTTTGGGAAAGGAAGAATTTTCAGATTATTAAAAGAAAAATAAGTTACAATTTTGGGAAGTATTGGAAAGGAAAACAGAAAGAGGAGAATAATGGGTGTCAGTCTGGTTATCAGTCAAGCTGGGAAGAGACAGCTTGTTCTGTCGAACACCAAGAATGTCAGTAGTGAGCCAACCATTTATGCAGGAAGGCAACCCTAAACTGAAAGGTAAGGTTCAAAGACATCTGTGTATGTTTCTGAAATGAGCTTGAATAAAGCTCCCTATTGAATTATGCTTACTGATTATGCATGTTACAATATTCTGATTTTTGTCTAGCACGAGCTCTTTATGTGATTGCTGCTTATTCTATTTTTATGGCAGGAGCTGGCTCTTTGTTTTCTTCTCCTGTCGCGGATGCTTTTTATGTGTCCAGGGTTGACATTGTGTGACTGTCATTTGGCAGAAGGCTCAGCAGTGCTGCAGCATCTTTTTTTTTTCTTACCTCAAGTGAGACATGTTGGCTTCCTGTTTCCCACATGTTTATATGTTGAACTTCTTGCTGAATGTCTGTGGCTGGCATCCTCACAGGCTGGCCTAATGCTGTGATTCACACACTCTCCCATGTGCAAGGAGAGATTCCCCACTTATAAGGACTCTTCAACACTAAATGGTACATCAGTGGCGTTACTTGCTGTGTTTTTTTTTCTGTTTGCAAACCAAGTGGAAAAATGGTTCTGAAAGGACTGTGAGTTAGTTTGTGTTGATAAGTACTGTTTTCCACATGTCCAGAAAGAGGACGCAGAGCATGAACATGGATATTGGGGTGCCTGAATACATCTACTGTTTCTGCAGTAGGTTTGATGCATAACTTGAGAGAAGTCCTAAAACATAGGACCGAAACAGTAGGCTGACAGAAGTCGTGTTCTTCAGCTGTTGTGAGCTCTTCCAATGGGAGATTATAGGTCTTATTGGCACTGCCTTAAATCCTTGGTAGCTGCAGGTCAGTTGTGTGTAAAATGAGCATAATCCTTGAATTATAAAACACAGGCAATTGTTTTCAGGTAGTTTGATGTCCCCATGTAGAGCTGTAGAATCACAAATTATTAATCATACTGTAGAATATTTCTAGAAGTCACCAGTTCTAATAGTTTCTTTCAAACAGAAGTAGGTTCACTTAGAACAGCTTGGCCTCTGTAAAATCTCTGACCTTGTTCATACAAACTTCTTTAAAAATGCATCATTTTATGCAGAAAGCTTCTCAGGGAGGGCTCCTCATATCTGCCATCTTAATTTCTTGTTTCCTAAATGCAGCAATTTGTACTTGATCCTTCTTACAAGTATCATGCCTCCCTTGTCTCCCCCTGCTCTAGCTCATTCCAGTGTGCTGCTTCATAGCCTCAACACAGCATCTGAGGGTGTTTAAAATCCAAAATTTTCTTCACTGTTATTCTAGCATTTCCTTACCAATCACTTCTCGGGGAGGGCATGAAGGAATCTGCTCTTTTATTCTCAGATGGATTTTCCTGCAGGTTGTTGATGATAGCAAGTTGTCATCAATTTACAGCCATTCAGCAAGTAAAATGAGCTGAATCTCTCATTCTGGTTTTACAAGGGACAAGATTTCTCAAAACAAAAATACACCACCAGTTCTTGGAGCACTTAATATCTTTAGTAGTTAGGCAAGGACTGAAGCTCAGGTTTTTGAAAAAGCCTAGGTGCTTGACTCCTGCTAGAACTGAATTGGACCTGCATATCTATAAATAGCTTTAAAAATTTGTGTCACTATGAAGACCTTCCTCATCCATCACTCTTGGTACCGTCAGAGTGGCAGTAAGATACATCAGCAAGGTCACATAAAGAAACTTGCAGTCCTGCTTTCCAGAAACTGCACATATTCGGTGAATCGCTGCATTCTAGCATGGTTTTTGATTAAATACGTTACTTTTGAAACAGATTATTTATATTGGGCAGAAGAAAAGAGCACTTGCTAGCATGAAAGTAAATATTTAAGCTAGACAACTTTTAGAAGGGATGCAAAATTATACTGTAAAAATACCCACCCTTATTGCTTATAATCCGTTTTTTATTAAAACTGGAAGATAAAAGTAAAAATCACATTTAAATTACTTTCTGATGTTTCTAGGGGATACTCTTTGCACTGCAGTAGGTTTCACTTTCTCGCCCTGTTTGCAGTGCTGTCGTTCTAGACTTAAATAACCTTTGGGGAAAATTTTTTCCCAAACATTAAACCTGTATTGATTTCACTTTTTTTGTATTTAATAACATTTATCTGTGTGTTAGCCCTCAAATCACTTTTTGTCAGTGAATCCAGAATTTGGGGCGACTGCTGTCTGAGAGGAGGATGTCTGTGATGGGGAGAATCCCTCGTGTCTGTCTCGGGAGTTCCTTCAGTGATGTTACAAAACCAGGAGCAAGTACTGACATGTGCATGCAAGGCCAAATTTGCTCTGTTTCTTAGGATGTAGAGAAAAACCACTTGCAATACACCCCTTAATGAATGGCGCAGACTTTCTGAAGAATTGGTTTAACTGATTCTTTTGAACTAACTTACATTTTAGTCATCTACAGATGGGTACTCTGTGTCAGGTTTGTTTGGTTTTTTTCCTTTGAAAGTCCATATCTATAAACATTCAGCAATGCAATCAGAGAAAAGAGAAAGTAAATGACTGTGTTGACAAAACATTATAATTTGACACACCATTCTGAAGAATGACTGCCTTATGTTTTAGATTTGTATTAAATGTTTGAACTGTTTGAACTATTTGAACAAGTTGCCCTCAGTGTTCTTTTGCAAGTTTACTTCCCCTCCCACCTCCCACCCCTAACTCAAGTATATTGATCAAATTGCTGAGTTGGAAAGGTTTGTAATGAGTTCTTTGAGCTGTATGTCTTCCTCCCTCCCTATTCCCCCTTAATCTTCATCTGACATTAAATAAAGCAAATCCCAAACAGATTAACTGTCAAACAGTTATGCTCCATATCTTCAATTTGCTTTTAGGTTTTCCAAGGGGGAGTGTGCTGATTAGGTAAGGAGATGTCATGGTCTTCTTCCGTCGATGCAGGAAGATAGCAGATATGATCGCCTGAAAAAGCAGAACTACTCAGTGCAAGCATGGCTTTCGCCCAGTCGCACATTATGGCAGCTAGAAGGCATCAGCACAGTAGACTCATAATTGAAGTGGATGAGTACAGCTCAAACCCCACACAGGCTTTCACGTTCTACAACATTAACCAGGGACGTTTTCAGCCCCCACATGTGCAAATGTAAGTATTATAGTTTTGTTACTGCTCTAGCACAGCCTTCTGAATTGTTATTGCCTTGTCGATGTGGTATACGATGGGCCAGTCAAAAATAATTCAAAGAACACTGTTTTGCTGCCTTTCTAATACTAATTACTATAATGATACAACAAAATCAGTCCATTAGGAAGGCATAAGTACTTTTTAAAAGGATGGGAGAAGGATCACTCCACTACCATAACTTGATATTTATGTATTAAAAAAAGAAACAAACAACAAGCAGTGGTATTAAAAGATTTTACAAGAATGATACTTTCCACAGTCTTAATACTGTTTGTTAACATCGTGCACTTGCTTATTGATGTAAATAGCTGTTTAAATGCCAGGCCTATATTTACAACCGATATTTTCCTATTGTTTCGTTAGTTACATTGCAGCTACATACCAGATAAAAATGACATCAATAAATAAAATAGTGTGGGCACCCATCCGACAACTTACTTTCATACCAATGTGCCGAAGATGCCAAGTGCTTAAAGAGTAATTAAAATAATGTGTTTGTTTCTGACTTCTGATATCATGACGACATCAGTAAAATTAAGTGCTCTAAATGATTTACTTATAATGTAAAGTGGAGAATTATAATTACAAAATGAAACCTGCCATAAAATTTAAAGCCAGGAGGAAGAACAGAACAGTTAAGCCATTACAAATAAATTAAGTATAAAATTCTACTGTAAAATATTTTTATAGGGAATAAAAACGTCTATAACATTTTATTGTGTTTATTAAAGAGAGAAGCAGTCTTATCTTTAGATGAGAAGCCTGATTGTTATTTTTTAACAAAAACTTTTGTTCCTTTATGAAGACTAAATAAATAATCACCTCATTCACATTTTTTGTATTGAATATGATTTGATAATTTTTAAACAAAGGCCATTATTTTTGCAGTTAAAAACTCAGCAACTCAGTGGATGCTCTATTTCTATTCTATGATACTTTATATACATTCCTTGCCTAAATTAGACGTTATATTTTTTAAAAAAGGAAGACTAACATATATGTTAGTGTGGTGAGCTAACACATTTTGGGGGCAGTGTATCAGTTTATAGTCTGTGTTTGGGTCTTTTAGGTACTGTTGAAATGCAAACAGTAAAATGAGTTGAGTGTTAGCACTGGGAAACATCTTTTGTTTATAGAGCTAGCAAATGGTAGCAAAAGTACAAAAAAACAAATGTGGGTTCAGAAATTCTTCTATAAATCAAAATGCCAAATGCAGGTCGCTTAGTTTTTTAAAGTTTATCCATTCTTTTTGAATATTCAAACGGCTCCTGGGCACTCACGGATGTCTTCACCAATCCTAAAAACTAAATGATTTTTACAAGCAAAATACTGGGCTGCAGATAAGTTATTTATTAGTAGCCACTTGGTACTCAACAATATGCTGCTTAAAGTTCTAATCAGTAACAAATCGTATTATCAAAGGACTTAGACAACTGCATGATCGAAATTCAGAGCCTAAGCAAGTAGTTCAGAAAAAGCTGTCTTTGGAAAATTGTTTCTCAGAAGAGGTTAGCAATCTCTTATGAATGATTAATACCATTGAAAAAGCTTGTGCAAATAGGAGAACAGGCTAGATCAATTGAAGCATCTACCACAGTCTGACCTACTCTTTCTCTTGATACAGAAATTGCAAATAATGTTTCTGAATACTAGCACTATTGCTTTTGCCTCTTACCAGTGAATAGAATAGTAACAAAGAAGGGAAAAGTATGCACAAGTGCAACAAAAGCACCTTTTATTCACATAATTGTTATGGGTGAAATCTTAGCCCATGCAAGTTTTGTCATTAACTTCAGAGAAGGGAGAGCTTTGCCTTGTCTTTGTGTATATTTCAAAATACCTAGATTAGTGATGTTGCATGCAATCATAAACAGATTGCAGATAGATCTGTTGACGACTGAACCTGTGTTAAACTACTCTCACCATAATTATTTTTTCATGCTTTTTTCTTCGGAATTCAGTCTTGCAACCAACCCTCCACTGGTCCTCGGTGCAGTTTTATATTTCTTGTTTCACCTTTCAGCGTCCACAACATGCTGACAACATTTTCCTAGCCCCATTCTTGTCTGTCATGCCTATGCCGGTGTGTTGACTGCTTTGCCACTGACAAGGCCAGTGAATTCTGACAGTTTTCAAGTCGCTCAGTCATTTCTAGGAAGTTCCTATCTTGCTCCTTTGTGAAACTCCACTGAAGTCTCATGTATCAAACAACCTCTAAAAGATTTTAACCTTACTTTTCAACTTCTCTGCAACTTCACATATCGCTTGAAAGAAAAACAAAAGCATTTGCACAAAAATAATCAGATCTTTGTACCTCTGCTCGTATTGCAAGCAGTGCATTGCGTGTTGGTGTGACAGCTGTTGGTGTAACGGCTGACCTACGCAAGATTATGGGGAGCAAGCCTTCAGAAATTATTTCCAATAGTACAACTTAAATGCCTTTGTGAAAGTTGACATATATTTTTGCCTATATGTGGCTTCAGTGTGTGCCTGACACTTCAGCGTGAAAACCTGAAGTTTTGGTTCATTGTATTGATACCTTTTTGCCATGCAAATTCTCTGGCCCTTTGCACAATATTTAAAAGTTATACATACCTCAACAATCAGGTGAGTGCTGTCCACATCTCTTACCTATCCTATCCAAACTATGAGGAAAAGCATATTTATTATGTGCTGCATGGGTTGCTATGGTAAGTCTGCTGTGTTTCTGTGGAGCTTCAGAGAAGGAACATGCAAAGTGCATGCTACACTCTGGCATCCAACTTACTGCTGGGCTGGGCTTTAAAAGGTTTCTGAGAGAGAAGAAGCACCCTCAGGTGCTTTCTGGGCTACCCTACCATGAAGACTCAAAAAGCAATAACTTACATCAGTCCACGTTCCTAATTTTATGCTAGAATAGTATGCATAATTTAAATTTGGCTAACTAACGTGACATGTAACTCACTTTGGGAAGTTCTGGGCAGGGGAAGGAATATTCAGTCGTTTGTTTGCTGCAGTGGTGTTTAATCTTTTTAGCTTGGAGGGCTGCAATGATAGCCAAGGTCATCTTCCACTCATCCCTCTCCAGCCATCCCAGTTCATTTTGAGGAGGTACTCTATGAGCTAAAATTAGCAGCACCTTTCACACAGACTGCACCTTCATGCAGACTACACCCTCACCTGCTAGTGTCAAACCCATCCTTCACCATCCCTATTCCATTATGCCCATGGTACCTCTATGGAGCTTGCACTATGGCAGGGTCTCTTCCCTCCAAAACAGGGACAGCTTTTACGTGCAATGGCAGTCATGCAGCTGCCTGGTTTGAGGTTGTGTCCTACCCTGCCTAACGTCTCCCACCTAATTCTTTTCTTTCGTCCCCTTGCCTTTCTGCAGGTGGCTGTGGTCCCCTCACTGTGCGCTCGTTCCTTCAGCCACGTACACAGTGCTTACATCTGCTTGCCCTCGGGCTCCATTGTGGCTACCCGTTCTGCTGCCTGTCCGCCAAATTTCACTATTTCCAGTACGGCTAGCATGTACTTACTCACCAAGCCCACTAGCATGTACGTGCTGCTAGCATGTACGTTAGGTATGATTTGATCACAGCAGGGTTTGCTCTTTACCTCATGTTCGGTGTTACTTTCTGCTCAGAAAGTGGAAATTTAGAAAGATGGCTACAAGGCAGTCATACTAAAAGGCCATTTCTCCAGAATGGCTATAAAAACCCCTCATGAATGGCTGATGCTTAATGTAATGGCTTTAAAAAAAACCCCAAACAGTTTTTATTCCTAAAATGGTATGAGAGAGATGGGTACAAGATAATTTACTCATATACTAGCTTTGCAGCTATAGAAAATGCTAAGAACTTTTTTTTTTAATGTTTAACAAGATTTAAATGTTTTAGATTTTATTCCTGACTCTCTAGTCTTGTAAAATTCTCAAAAGCGCCTTAGTTTACCCATCTATAAATTTGGTAGAATTCTTCTCTGACTTAAGAGAAAAGGTTGTGATCAAAGGTGATTATTTTATGCCTTTCAAGTAATAAAATGCCTACTGGAAATTTACCCAATAATCTCAGAGATAGCATCATTAATAACAAAAGACTTTTTTCCGATTTTATTTATATAAAAGTAAGAGCCTGAACTGAAGCACAACCAGCAAGGGATAGGAATATGTGTTATATATTACAACAGTGAACAAAACTAATTTTGTTTGTCTTTTCAGAATAGAAGTTTAAAAAGTGAAATAATTCATAACAATTCTGTATATCGCTCAGGTTTCTAGTGACATAAATATAACTCTTGCATCTCATGCTTTTTGGTTTTATTCCACCAGAATTCCCCTGGCTGGAATAACAGATATGGTATAGTTATATGCATTTGCTTCTATGTATGCTAATGAAATATGGATTGAGGGTAAAAAGATCGAATGAGTTGCAAATAAGTATACCTCATGTAGCAGAAAGGTGTTCTCTGCTTTCCCCTTCTATATCATGAGTAAGTCTCTCAAAACTGGGTCAGATCTTTTCTTTTACTCAGTTTTGAGTATTGAGAGTGGGCTCTGAACAATAGAGCCTCACCCCTCACAGCGTCTGATTTCATCTAGTATAATTAAGCCCAGAAAGTTGCCACATTTGTCCTGACAATAGTCAGGCTTGAATGTACATTTACAGCTGTTGTCAGTGGAGTTCTTATCTTGCTGTGCATTAACACACTGAAACATATCTCCAAAATGTGTTAATTAAATTTGTTGGAATTATATAACTTGCAGAAAGAAAGTTATAATTAGAAAAATGCATTTAAATGTATTTATGTATCTGAAATAAATCTTTTCCCTGTGTACCATGTAATCATATTTAAACAATGCAAGAGGATAGTACTGTTCCTTTGAAACTGGCATTGCCTTTGATTTATTTGTATTTGTTTCAGAGTTACTGCCATAGTTCAATCTCTTTTCCGTAATCTCTTCAAAGTAATCCATCTATCCAACAAATACTGAAAATGTAGTGCTGTGAACATCCCGAATTTTTACCCCTCCCATTAGTGTTAGGTTTGTTCTAATCAATCTCTTCCATCAGGCAGATCTAGAAAACTGTATGATCTTTTGTAAAGGTAAAAGTTAGTATTAGAATTGCAAAGCAGACACGAAGAAGTACATAAGTACTTTATAACCTTGTTATGATACATTTCTTACAGGGTTGATCCTGTGCCCCATGACGCTCCCAAACCTCCAGGATATACTCGATTTGTCTGTATTTCTGACACTCACTCAAGAACTGATCCCATCCAAATGCCATATGGAGATGTGTTAATACATGCTGGTGATTTTACTGAGCTGGGACTTCCTAGTGAAGTTAAAAAATTCAACGAGTGGCTAGGTAGGTATTGAATTGTGTGTGGATTTGAAAGTAAATTTGATTTACTGATTGTATCTGCCCCTTCTGCCTCCCAGTAAAAACCATCCTGCACTCGGGGGTGATGAATATTAATTTGACTTTTAAATTTGAATGGCAATGAGCAGGAATCAGATTTTTTCTTTCTTTTTTTTTTTTACAAATATTTTTGCATTTTTCCAACTGAGCAAATAAGATTTGTGAGACTATTCATCTGTTCTGCCTTCACACTCTCAAGTGTACATTAAGCAACTTCCTGGTGTTAGCAACAATTTAAGTCAGTAGGCCTTTAATGATTTACATAAAACCTCTTACATACATTGTTATGGCTTTGCTTTCCTGCAAAAAAAAAAAAAGTTGTTGTGACTGAAAACATTTGTCTGTTTAACCCTGGAGGCTCATAGCTTTTCTATCGGAGGCTCAGCTGCACCACAGTGATGAATTCCAAACAAAGCGAAACGCGTGCCTGTGGTTGCTGTCTTGGATGTGGCAGACCAGATGTAGATGCCTTCTGTAGGCAACTGTTGGCATTGGTAACTGAAATTCTGTTCCACTGGGCAAGAGAGTGGTGATTTACATGTGCTTCTGCAATGTTTTGTATACACTAAAAAAAAAGGGACAGTGGAAACTGGAAAGTGTACGCTATATCCGGACAAAAACCCTCATCAGTATTGTTCATGCAGTGTGAATACCTTAATTTAGAGTAAAAATGGATTCTTGATTCTGATACTGGAGGAAAGGAAGTGAAGGACTCATGGAAAGGAAGGACACAGGATTTTAGTTTTTAGGTCGATTTTCTTTTCTTTGGTTTATTTATTTATTTATTCCTGTCCTTTTTGCTACATGCTATAGCATTCCCAGTCAGGAATGCACAAAGCTGACAGATGCAGGTAGGCTGAAATAAGATTTAAAAAAATGGCAGGACTTTCCAGTTGAAACAAATATTTACAGATCAGACAGCCCTCCCCCCACCTCCTTTTTTTGGGGTCAAGCTAATGCCGATAAATAATTTTTGAGCTGGGAAACTCAGTAATATGCTCAATGTAAAATAACTGATTTAGGGAAAATACTAGAATGCATTGAAGTAGGGAAGTAGAAGAAGAATGTGGAAGTAAAATACTCTATTACAGTGCCCTCTGCTCTGTCTCTATACCCAAATGGAAGAGGCTACAACAAAAAACATATTTTAATCATTCTCTGTACGTCCCCACCATACAGAAACCGTGTGGTTATCCCTTCTAAGTAATATCCATTTTATTTATTTGCTAGCGTGGAAATAAGAGCACTTTGGGACATTGCTTGTGAGCAAGGATGAAGGCTACACACATCGATTGCTGCAGTTTTTGTCTCCCTAGTTCTCCATCTGCCTCCCTGCAGGACACAGCTGTACAGTGTTCTGAAGAAGTCCGTAAGCGGAAATACTCTCGGTTTGGTAGGGAGATTTCACAAGGCATTTCTGTTATGGTCTCTTCATCGTCTTTATTCCAAAATGAGGCTTATTTTTCTGACTTTTAAGGCATGCTTCCAACTTCATAATAGCATGCAATTTGGGAAGAGTTGATTTCTTTGGTTTGAGGCATATTTTCTGCAAGAGCATATCTTTGAGATATGCAAATTTAGCAAGTTAAATAAAGGATTTTTTTTAGTTCATTGGCAATTTAAATAAATGTTTGAATTAATTCTGAAAAATACAACAGGAAAATAGTTGGGAATCACTGCATAGGTGTCATTCAGCTAGCTTTTAAGAGTTTTGTTTCAGTTAAAAATCGCAAATATTTATTTTTAAATTCTATTCAAAAAAACTTTAGTTTTTATTTTGAAAGGGTTTTATTTTATTCTAAATGAATGATCTGTGAATTCATGAATATTTTTAGTGTTGCAAAATCTATAGTCAGTGGTGCATTGATTAAAAGCGTCCCCTTTGAGATGAAGAAACTTCACTTGACCTGTTTCTGCTGATTGTGAAATTTGTTGTGAAAGGTACTAGTCTCTCACAGTTTTGTTTTTTCTAGATTGCTACTTCCAGTATTTGCTATGGTTTTGCTGCGATAACTCCCATATCCTACCTAACTTTCTTCTTCTTCTTTAACATTTTACTAGTTTCTTGAGAAGATAATTGACAGACTTGGGAAAGGACTTGCACCTCCACCCACGTTCTTACCTGCTGCCACCAAGTTTCCCTGTCTATCCCTTTATTGCAGAGCGCTGCACTCACTTTCCCACTTAGTTATTTTATTCTGTCTCGGTTTTCCCTCCTCTGCCATTACTGGACTATAACAAGGGTTTATCCCTTGGAATAACCAAAGAGGTATTTATTACCCCTCCCCTTGACGTCAGCTTCCTCCTTGACTCTAGATATATGTACTACCTACTACTTTTGCTTTTTCACCATGTTTTTATATGTAGTACTGATTCCTGTCCTTTAGTTTTCTTTTCTGTCATACCCTATTGAGTGTCTGCTACTCTGGTTTCTCAGCCTGTTTCATCTTTTCAGGAGGCCCTTCAGCAAGTTCCGATTCTTTCTGTTCTACATAAAATGTCTCTATCTGACTGATGCAAAGTATATTTTACATTAACATCACTAAATTCCATGGACCTTATGGTTAAATTGAGCACATGCTTGAGTGTTGTGCTAATAGAGGCACATTGGCTTCCCAAGTCATACCCTAAAATATGTTCCCTCTTTTTGAGGCTAGCTGTGTCAGGGTACATGGGAAGGCTGCTACCAGCTCAGACAATATTGTCTGTCTAGTACAGTATTGTCTTTGACAGTGGCTAGTAGCCAAGGTGCTCTGCTTTGTCTGCCCCTTAGTCACCTAGTTTTATACTTTTTATCCTCTGACCCTTAAAACCCTCTATTTCATTTCATTGTTCTCCTCTGTAATCAGTTGTTTTCCCCCACTTTTCTTTTTCTCAAAGCCTCCTCCCCCTCCTCTCAGGGAGGCCTTTGAGGTTTTATTAGGGCTGGGTTGCTGCCCAGCTCTAAGAATTCGATACAGGGCTGGTGAGAACTGGATGTGCATATTTTCTCAGCCTTCTCTCATATGCAGTCCAAGGACTTCCTGAGACACAGCAATAACTTTGTTTTTAATACAAAGTTATTGTGTTAAATACAGACAGATCTTTCTTCTATGAGCTTTTTGAATTCAGGCAAATTTGTAGTGTCCACACAACGTTGCGGCAAAGAGTTCCACAATTGAATATGGACTGTGTGAAGATCATCTTTGCTTATTTTGAAGCTGTCATCTGCTAGGTTCATAGTGCTGTTTTCTAGTAGTACTGGAAGAAGCAGCTGTACAATTCCACTCTTCATTCTGCTCAAGATTGTGTAGGCTCTTCCCATATCTGCCCTTCTAATTGTGATATTTTTCAGGCTGAAAACTGTTTAATTTCTCCTTGTATGGAAGTCATTAAATGCCTTTGCTCCTCTGTGTCAGCTCTCTGTACCTCTTCTTGTTGTTCTATATCCTTTTGAAGATAGGCAGACCAGGACTGCACACTGTCTGAGTATGCCATAGCTTCATCCTCCAGCATGATGAATTTTCTTATTTTGTTCTCTTTTCCTTTTTAACATTGTGGATTATTCTGTTGTTATTTTTGAATGAAACTGAACAGTGAGTTGGCATTTTCATAACATCATTACCTATTATAACTCTAAGAACTCTTTCCTGAACGGTAATAGCTGGTTCAGAACCCATCACTGTATCTAAAGTTGGGATTCTTTTCCTGCCCTTGCTTTATTGTCCAGTCATGCAGTACCGTGACATACTTCTGCAAGTCAGGTTTCTGTTTTGCTACCCTTATTCAAGGTAGCTTAGAAAAAAAGAAACGAGAAAAAGGGATGACTAGTCACTTTTCAGAGTTTGCCAATGGTGCTAACCTAGGCATTTCCCCTTTCTCTTTTCCTGATTTGACCTTTTTCCTATTTTTATACTTCTTCTTTTCCTTTCTGTACCTAGTCTGTTCCCTGACTGTATTTTTCTTCCAAATTTGTGAATCCAAATTTTGGAACAACACAACCAACACAGAAAACATGAAATACAAAACATATATTATAGTTGGCTCAGGTAGAAGGCCAGGAGGCCAGTGAAGCTTTCTGGTGGCATTATAAGGATGGATTGGAGGACAGCTTTGAATATATACTGTTTTTTCAATATACCCAGGAAATTTTAATGATATTGCGTTAAACAGCTGAAAATAATTCAGGATAATTGTTTCTAAATGCATGTTAGTATGTAATCAAGGCTAGATAAGGTATATTCTAAGATATATCCAGCTCTCTGTATACTGTAGCTATCCCTTGTATTCAGTCTTTCATTATTTTTGTTTTATTATTTTATTCCCTACCTGCATGTAAATCAAATGTGTTGTAGGACAAATACAAACACAAATGTCCTGCTTTGGTGCACTCATCAAATGATGACTCTAATCCTATCTCCATTTTGTATCTCCCATATTGTTGGAACTGGAAATTGCCTGCTTGGCTCATTTGCTTTTGCAATTCTCTTTCCCCAAGTCTGTAATATCACTTCCAAATTTGGTATGCTCCAGGACCTACTGCCACTTTGAGCTTGTGGGTTACTTTCCTGGAAATTTAACTATATAGCTGATCTGTGACAAAAGCTGCAAAATATACTTCTGTATTCTCTCTGATCATTCACTCCCCTGTATGGATTGCTAACACATTTTGCAATGTCCATTGTTTCAGTGGGTTTGCTTGAAATTTTCCAATATCAAAGACGCTCTTTCTATTTGAAATTCAAGTTCAAGGAACATTTGAGATAAAAAAAGAGAAGGTGGCTTTGCATTGTAGTGGGAAACAATAGTTAGCTCTTCAGAATATTTCCCTGGAAATGTTAATCTTATGTGCATATCACACACAGAAAATAATTGATTAATTTGTTTGACATGCACTCACTTCAGGAATTGACCTGGGCAGATTCAGCTCAAAGGATAACATTTTTCTTCCAGACTTTAAATTGGCT